AGGAGAGTATGGCTTGTGTGAAACAGTTAACCCGAGCTGTGTACTCAAGGGAGGGTGCGTGTATCACTTGTTGACTGTGGATTCTCCCACTGACTTTGCTCCGAGTCAGAATTAGCTAATAAGCCATCTAGCTACTTACCTACTTTGGCCTGGTTTGCCCTGGGCACTCATTGCTGCTTGGAAGGAAACCTCAGAAATGAAACCATGGGCAGGAAAAAGGTGGGTGCCCACATTCCGAGCAACCCAGGCATCCAGCTAGAGTAGAGTCCACAGTAATTACTGGCCAGTTTTCAAATGCTCAGCGTAGCATTAGGGACCTTCCGGCACAGTCACTGTCATGTTCTCTTTCACTGATGATGAAACTGAGACCTACACCTGCTAAAGCTCCCACAGGCAGTAGGTGGGGCCGGGATTTGAACTCAGGTTAGTCTGGCTTGTGTTTGGAGCCCACATTCATCATTCTAACGCCATGACCCCCTGTAGCAGGCCTCCTCCTACCGTGAATTAGGAAGGAAAAGAGACGGAGAGGGGGCTCCTTCCTGTCCCATCCCCAGGCCTCCCTCAATGAGGCTCAATCCTGTCTCTGGCACCTAACACACTGCCTGGCCCAGGAAGGTGCTCAGCAAGGGTTTGTTGAATGAATTCAATGATCCTGAGACCATCATCCTTTCTGGGTGGCTGAGCCTCAGCTAAACCAGCCAAGGGGTTCCAAGAAGCCCAAAGCTGAGGGGTACAGAATGCCAGGAGTGAGGGTGCTGGGAGAACCGAAGACCCAGACCCTCCTTTCCAGGGGATTGGAAAGGGGAGGATTCTAAAACTGAGTCAGGGTGAACTACACTCGGCACCTTAAGAAAAAAAGACCGGAGTGGGGGGGTGGGGGGGGGCGGGGGGGTCCTCAGGTTACCTTAGTCAGCATCTTCCCCCATCTGTTTTCCACCCTGAGTGTCGCTATAACTCTTACCATCACTGAAGCTCCTCAGCATGTGCTCTTGGCATCTTATAAAGAGCACATGGCCATCTGGGGCCAACCCGCCTTCCTTTCCATCTCAGAAAGCTTTGCCTTCATCCTTCTCCACTTCCCCTTGGCATTGATGGAACTTGGAGCCTGCCTTGTCTGTTGGGGAGGACATTCTGGGCCCAAGTGAGAACCTTTGGGTCAAGAGGCTGGGAGCTCCCACTCTTCCTGCTGGAATGCTTTGGTACCCACGGTGGGCCTTATCAGACGTCAAGGGCACACAAGAAGGTGATGAGCCTCTTAAGGGTTAGAATCTCTGAATTGTGAGCGGCAGTCACGGTGGCTGGCTCACTCTCGGATCTGGTGCTTTGGATGGAGGGTGGGTTTTCAGGGGGGTTGCTAAATGGGGAGGCCTATGTGAAAAGGCTGTCATGGAAGAGTGGGGTTGATGGAAACACGCTCCTAGAAGCACCTTGGTGTGGGACTTCATACGGCTGCTCTTAGGAGGACCACAGACATGAGCTAGTGAAGTGGCCTGAGATGCTTCCCATTGTACTGGCCCCAGATTTATTCTCCTCCTCTGGGATCCCAGGGTGACCGTGTATACTGAATAGCAGGGAGGGTCTGGTAACATCTGCCACCACACTGGACTCTGGGAGAAATGTCTTCATCAGGAAAGCTGAACAATAAGCCCCACTGTAGACCTCTACCCACCCCAAAAAGGAGCACAGGGACCCTGTCATCCCCAGGATCATACTAGCACATGGTCAGGCATCCCCCATTCATCTGCCCAAGAGTCACCCCTCTTCACACAGCAGAGACACAAACCGACAATCCAGAATGGTGCTACTTAGGCATCGAGAGCCAGATCAAATGCACTTTATTGTTCTGAATCCCTCTGTTGCATTTCAGGTCCCAGCGGAACAGCACCCAGAAGGAAATGCTGACCCAAGAGGCAGCCCGAGAACAGAGACCCTGGCACCCATTGAAATGATGAGGAGTTGCGGCCTTCGGGAGCGGCCAGCCTTAGGGACAGGCTTTGAGAAACTTCATGGCGTGTATTTGCGGTGAGGCCTCTCAGGACCTGGCCCTGGGCTCTGCATGAGAAGGGATTGGGGCTTTAAGGTTAGGGTTAACTAGAGGCCAACTCCAAGCCCTGGAGACAGTGGCCTTGGCTTTCTGGGCCTACGCACTCTCAGAACCGGCCTCCTGGGCAGGGCACACAAATGGGGCGGGGGCTGCAGGTCGTGCGGGCTGCGCCAGGACCACAGGAGGCCATGGGAAGACAGGGGAGGCATGACTTGGAGGCCGAGGGTTCCGGGGCACACGGGTTACAGGGCAGCCTAGGAGAAAGAAAAAGATCAGATTAGTATGATTTTCCAGCTGCTGTTTTCCATAACTCAGAGTAATTTAAAAATCACCTAGTCCTGCCCCATTGTTTTGCCAAAAGGGGAACAGAGGCCAGGGGAGAAAAGAGATTTGCCTGGGTCACGTGATGAATTTGTAACAAGACCAGAAGGAAACCCAGGGCTCCTGGCTGGGCTCTTCCCAGGCACATGCTGTCTCCCCAGAACTGTGTGGACTGCGTTCAGAAGATGAGAGCGCAGTGGTACTCACTTGCAGTCCTCGCTCTCCAGCAGGCCCCGGTACGTGTTGATCTCACCCTCCAGCCGGGCCCGGACGTCCAGCAGCACCTGGTACTCCTGGTTCTGCCGCTCCAGGTCACCCCGGATCTCGGCCAGCTGGGACTCCACGTTGCCGATCAGGCACTGCATCTGGGCCAGCTGCGAGCTGTAGCGGGTCTCCGTCTCCGCCAGGGTGGATTCCAAAGCATCTCTCTGTGAGGACCAGGGTTGTGTAGGGAGGAGGAAGGTTAAGGATCAGAGAAGGAGCAAGGAAGATGCACCTAATCCATCTGGGTCTCACAGAGGCCTCAGAATCCAAGAACAGAAGCCCAGAGAATCACTTTGAGCCAGGATGAACCACAACCAGACATCTCCCTTGAGATGAGCCAATTAGCCCCTTTAGCCATCTTGTCTAAAATGACCTAAAAATAGTATCTCTGGCCCTCGTCGGTTTGGCTCAGTGGATAGAGCTTCAGCCTGTGGACCAAAGGGTCCCAGGTTCGATTCCGGTCAAGAGCACGTACCTCGGTTGCAGGCTCCTCCCTTGCCTGAGCCCTGGTTGTGGCTCATGCAGGAGGCAACCAATCAATGTGTCCCTCTCACATTGATGTTTCTCTCTGTGTTTCCCTCTCTCTTCCACACTCCCTAAAAATCAATGGGGAAATATCCTCAGGTGAGGATTAACAAGACAAAAAACAAACAAACAAAACAAAACAAAAAGATATCTCTGAGTAACTGATAATTACTCAGAAAGGATCTGCTTCCACACATACAGGAGCCGCTGCCTGGACATGCCGTTGCCACAGCCTCCTCTTTTACCCCTGGGGCATCTGTGAATGGGGCTGGGCTCTCGTTCCCTCTTCTCTGCACAGGAAATCTCTGATGCTCAAGAAGTTGACCATTAGCCTGTGTGGTCAGAGCATGGAAATCGGGGGTGCTCATGGGCAGCTAAGGTTGGTCGCCAGCAGCCTCAGGACTCACCATGCTCTGCTGGGCCTGCAGCTCGATCTCCAGGGCGTTGACCGTGCGTCTCAGCTCGATGATCTCTGCCTGGAAGGTCTGCAGCTGCTCTGAGCTGGACACCACCTGCTGGTTCAGCTCCTCGGTCTGAAACATACACACACGGGACCTGGTCACGATCACTGGGGACACAGCTTCTGAGGTCCACAGAGGCCTCTTAGAAGCGTGAGCTGAGAAGGACCTTCCAGATCACCCAGCCCAAACTATTCATCTAAGAGGACATAGTTGCTTAGACCACAGCCACCGGCCCAAGGTGAATATTGAGGTCAAATCAGAGCTGGGACTCAAACTCAGGTTTCTGGATGGGGAGCCCCCAGGTGACTCCTGTGTGACCCACGGCGTGTCTGTGGCAGGCTGTTCCCAGGACGTACCTGGGTGTTGAACCAGTCCTCAGCATCCCGGCGGTTGTTCTCCACCAGGGCCTCGTACTGGCACCTCATCTCATCCAGAACGCGATTCAGGTCCACAGGGGGGGCAGCGTCCACCTCGACGTTGAGCCGGTCACCAAGCTGGCAGCGCAGTGAGTTTACTTCCTGTGGCATAGACCAAGGTCAGCACTAACTTTCTCACTGGCTGCCCCATTGTCCTCCCCACCACAGCTACCTGCTCCCCATGCTCATCTACTCCCCATGTTCACCTACTCCCCTATGCTCACCTACTCCCCATGCTCACCTGCTCCCCATGCTCACCTATTTCCCCATGCTCACCTACTCCCCATGTTCACCTAAACCCCATAGCTCACCTGCTCTCCATGCTCACCTGCTCCCCAATGCTCACCTATTTCCCCATGCTCACCTACTCCCCTTGCTCACTGCTCCCCATACTTACCTCCTCATGGTTCTTCTTCAGGCAGAGCAGCTCCTCCTTCAGGGACTCCACCTGGGCCTCCAGGTCGGCCTTGCACAGGGTCAGCTCGTCCAGGATCCTGCGCAGGCTGGTTATGTCCGACTCCACCAGCTGCCTCATGGACACCTCCATCTCATACCTGGCAGGCACGTAACAGGGCACCTGAAGCTGCATTTCTGTTTTATATCCAAGTCACATCTCACCCAGACTGGCCTGGTGCTGTGTCCCCCTTAATGCCTCCGTGACTTAGTGCAGCCAAAACCCGGAGTCTGGGTGTCACCAATGTCCAGTATTACCAGCCCCCAACCAAGGGGCAGGCAGGGCACTCACTTGGTCCTGAAATCATCTGCGGCCAGCTTGGCATTGTCAATCTGCACCACCAACTGGGCGTTCTCTGCCTTGGTGCACAGGGTCTAGAGGAGGGCAAGAAGTGGGGGGAAAGTTACTTCAGTAAAAGAAAGGACATTCTGCTGGCCGGAGCACCCCAAAGTTGGCATGAGCTGCCGTTGGAGAAAGGGCAGCACCCATCCCTGGACTCCTGGCAGCTGAGGCTCCATGAGGCTTATGGGCATGCTGCACGGATCAGGGCAGGAAACCGCTAGGGCCCCTGCCCATGCAGTGCATCTGCGACCTGTAGCCTGGAACAGAGAGGGGGAGGCGTGGCGATGCTGCAGGAAGACCGGGCATGATGGCTTCCTCTTCTCTTTCTATCGCCCAGGCTACAGGGCTCTCCGGGAAGGTTATTACCAACAGCACACTCTGTGATTCCTTGGTCATAAATGACCCTTCTCAGAAGCCAGCTGATGTTCAGGGGATGTGGGCTGGGCCAGAGGAAACTTCTGACAGGCTTTTCCTTTCCTGAATCAGTTATAGGAAACCTTCCCTGAACCAACACATCAAATTCAATCCCCTTACCTTGGAGGAGGAGGAGGAAGAGGAGGAGGAGCAGGAGAAGGAGGAGGAACAGGTGAGTTGGGCTATGATATCAAAGGTCATACAACCAATTAGTCCATAGAGTCATGTTCAAACTCTGGCTCCACTAACTGCCAGCAGGACCACTTAGAATAAGTCACTTAACCAGCCTGAGCCTCAGTGTTCTCATCTGTTAAATGGGCTGGTGATACCTCCCTCATAAGATTATTGGGATGAGCAAGTATGGCCACAGTGTAAACATGCCCTGTGACCTCTGAGGTGCCCCCGGGGAACTGGGCCACCAGCACAGATGTTCTGGCTTCCAGTCTAGTGCTGGTGGCACCAGCCTCCGGAGCTGCCGGTGCCACCGAAACCCCTCACCTTCTTCTGGAGCTCCTCGATGGTCCGGAAGTGGGACTGGTAGTCGGGGCACAGGTAGGGCACCTGCTGCTCACACCACTCGCGGATGCGGCTCTCCAGGCTGGCGTTCTCCTGCTCCAGCTGCCGCACCTTCTCCAGGTAGCTGGCCAGGCGGTCGTTCAGGAACTGCATGGTCTCCTTCTCGCTGCCCGTCAGGATGCCCTCCCCGAACCAGCCCGCGCCCACGCTGTAGCTGGTGGCAAAGCCTCCGGACGGGAGGCAGAGAGCAGGGAGGCAGCTGGCGGCCCTGCAGTTGCTCCTGCCCAGCCCGACCGAGCAGGTGGAGAAACTCCGGGCCCCACGGGAGAGGCTGGGGAGCTTGCAGGAGCTGCTGGAGTAGACGGCGGACACGCGGGGCGAGCCCCCGTGGGCCCCTCCCAGGCCCTTGAGGGACCCCGAGGAGAAGCTGGCCTTGAGGCATTTGGAAGCCATGGCCTCCGCACCGGGACACAAGCGACGGAGCTGCAAGGCTGGGCACCCCCGATGCACAGGCGCAGCGCCTCGCCCAGGGTTTATATCTCGGCCCCCGTGGGCGTTGGCCTTTACAAAGTGTCTTCTCCTCGTAAAGTTAATACCACTTTCTATCAGAACCCCTCATTAACGGGCTCTTTAGCTTCCTGTGAACATTTCTCGGCCTCGTAAACAAGGAGCCCCGTTGGACTGGCAGCTACGTAGAGACTCATCACCACCGCCCCGTGCTGCTGGCAAGACCCAGTCTCCGTCAGTTCTTCAAAGGGGCCTGTCATCAGAGCCCAGGCCTCAGCCTCCTGTTAAGAGCTGTGGGAGTTGGTCTTGACTTTCTCCAGCATTGTCTTCTTTTATGAGCCAACGGAGTCGAGGAGGCCTCTGGGCTGGCTCCTGGGCGTCGCAAGGGCAAGTCTGGTTGTTACAGGAAAGCCGGGCCTCAAGCCCACGGAGACACAGAAGGCTCTAGAACAGCTCAGGAGATATGACTACGGTAACCCACTATTGCTGTTGCCCCAGGATTGTTCTGGTTTTAGTGCTGAAAGTCTCCGATCTCTGGGAACCCCTCAGTCCTGAGCAAAAGGGTTCGGTTGGTCACCCTGGACGCAGCAGAGCCTCGATGAACACATCCCTACTCCCTCCTTTGCCAGGAAGTCTGTTCTGGCTCTGCAGCCTCAGCTCCAGCCAAAATGGCTAGAGCTCGGCTAACTGGGCGCCTGCCCCACGTAAGGAAGGTGTCATCCAGGCCCTGGTTGGAAATGGAGAAGCCTTCCCTTCTGGTTGCTGGGCCGGGCAGAGTGGTCTTGCCTCACAGGCCTCCTCAGAAGGCTCAAAGCGCCTGGCCTTTGGAAATCCATCTCTGCAACAGGAGTTGTCTGGACGGATGCCCAGAAAGCTGGACAAGGGTGGAATATTTGCCCAAAAAATCCATCTGCCAAGCAAGGGGGACCTGGAAGAGGGCCTGGGAGCTGAGCAAGAGGGCAGGTGTGTCTGGGGAGGGGCCTCGTCAGGGAGGCCAAGGGGACTTGCCTGTTGTTCTGCCCTGTGGTCTGGGTCCTAATTACTCTTCTCGGGATCCCATGAGGACAACAACCGTGGGCTGAGCACCAGCAGCCTTCCCGGCAGGGCACGGTGCTTTCCCGTGCGGGGTCTCACCGAGTCCTCATGGTGCCCTGTGAGCCGAGCGTGTTATTCCCCTCTCAACACTGAGGAAACCAAGACCCAAAGATGATGAAGGCGTGCTAGGGGCACCCGCTAGTGACAGGCAGAACCAAGATGCCAACCTGAGTCTGGCCTGGCCTTCCCCACCACACCATGGAGATGCAGCTCAGCATCGTGGGTACCTGTGAACTCTGGGGGTTTGAATCCCAGCCCTGCCACATGCCAACTGTTTCCTCTCTCTTTCCTCCTCTGTAAATCGGGAGGAAGATAGTCCCTGCTTCCTAGGGCTGCTCTGAGGATAGCATAGTGTCAAGCTTCTAGAACAGCACCTGCTCATGGTTCATGCTCAGTAAGGGCAGCCGCTGATTGCTGATCCCACGCTTGTGGAGTCTTGTTGAAGTCACACCTCATTACCACACAGATGTCACTAGGGAGTGCGGACAGTCTCTGAGCACACAGGCCACCATCCCACGGGCCAGGTGCATGTGCTTGGGGCCCTCAGATACAGAGCTCCCATGAGTCACCATGTCCTTCCCACCCCTGGGGGCCTGGTGTGACCGGCACCCACCCAGCACCAGCCCAGGCCGCCATTGGCTGCCTCAGCCTCTCCCTCCCTGGAAATCCATGCCCCGGTGCAAGGACACACCTGAGCTGAGAACCTGGCTGCACCTCCTTGGGTGTTTGTGCTTCCCACCCAGGTGAGTACAGGACTCCACCCAAGCCCTGCTAAGCTGCAGCCTCCTGGAGACACCCAGGAGCCCAGAGAAGCTACAGCCATGGAGGCCAGCAAGCCACATGTTTATACAGCCTGAGGGTCACATGGGTTCCCAGGCAGGGCTCCACACCTGTGCTATCTGGAAAGAGTTTCTCTCTCCCACATAGTCCTCGTAATAACAAGCCAGTGGGATCGGCCATCATTCATTGAGCACTGAACTCCTGCCGGGCTCTGTACTGAGCTCTCTCCAGACATTCTCTCATTCACTCCTCACAACAACCCCATGAGATTGGCATCGCCAATATCCCCATTTAATAGATGGATAAACTGAGGCAGGGAATGTTTTAGGAGCCTGCTCCCTGCTCCTGCCCTGCTGTACTCTACCAGCTCCAAACACTCAGGGCAGTGACTAGTGGTTGACCTGTTGGCCCTCCATTCGATGATATCCTCAAATTGTCTTGTGTTTCAGCCCTATCTTCTCAGGGAGACTGTACATTCTTGGGGGCAAGGAGTGACCTGGTACTTGTTTTGAAATCTCTATAGTGTCAAGCACAGTGCTGGGCTTCTAGGTGTCTCAATATACATGAATGAATGAATGAATGAATGAATGAATGCTTTGCCCATGGTGAATTGTGCTAAGGAAGCAAAGAAAGGATTTTGAGAGGAAGAGAGCATAGAAAAGGAGGGAATGAAGAAGGAAGGAGGGAAAAAGTGGGTAGAGAACTGAGAGAGAAAGATACAGTACTTCCAAAGTCAGTCTTACCATCCTTACTCTTACAGATGAGGAGACCGAGACTTCGCGATAAAAGATTAGGCATCTCTGTGGAGGTGAGCAGCACCTGCTCAGACTAACCAGCCCCTTTGGCAGAGAACAAAGTGTTCTCCGGGCCAAACGCCATTCTGCCCAAAGGGAGACAGGACCATAAGCCAGTTCACTGCCGTGTCCATGTCCAGTCCACAGTAGGAAAGTTGAGTTCTGGTGTGCACACTCCTTAGTGATTTAAACTGGAACTCAGTTGAAGGTGTTTGTGAGAGTAGGAATGGATTCCTTAACCATCACAGACTCTAAACAATTTAATATGTGAGAGTGAGAGTAAGAATGGGTTCCTTAACCATCACAGACTCTAAACAATTTAATAAAGAGCTAGACAAGGCTACCTAAATAAAGCGCCCATGACACCTAGGGCTGTCTGAGCGCTTGGCATGAGGCTGTGAATTCCCTCTGCAAACTGTAGAGAGTGCATGAAAGGAGACAACACTGCATGCTGGGAGGAGTTGACAGATTGTCAGGTCACAAGCCTGTGTGGTCTGTCTGCTCCAACACAGTAGCCAGGCAGCTTGAGCTGTAGATGGAACAGAAGGTCCAGACCAATCCCTGGCTGTTCCCATGTACCAGCAAACAGGGGTGGCATGCTCTGTGTGCCCCCGGCCCACCGCTCATCTCCTGAGCCTCAGACATGAGCCAGGAAGCGCAGCCCGCAGGCCCCAGAGCAGGAGTTCGAAGCCCAGAGAGCACAGGGCAGGAGGAGAGTGAGACCACATGGAAGGACCCTCCTGACCAAGGCCGAGCAAGTCCTCTGAGGCCAAGGCCTTCGGGTTCACTGTCCTGCTCCAAGGGTACTGCTGACCAACAGTGCAGGCCCCACCAGCGACCTGCCGTGTAACCAAGCCAAGACCCCGGGCCCACCTCGGGGGCCAGGGGTTTCCACTCTCCACACTCAGCTCAGGGGCCCTTCATTTAACACTAATGCTCATTGCTACCACTTCTTTAGGGCTGCACACAACTGAGCCTCCTGCAGCCCCATTTCACAGATGAACCAGCCAACACTAGAGAGGTCACAGGACATGACTGGGCGCCCACTGCCAAACACAGAGCCACGCTCAGTGCAGATGCCCCAACCTGCCCATGCGCCTCTTGCCTAAGATCCAAGAGGTGTTTGCTGCACCTCTGGTTGAGCAGCAAATTCCTGGTGACATCCCATGTCTTTCCCATGGAGGACTTGGGCTCCAGTAAGAGCTCAGAGGCAGAAAAGAAGAGAAAGAAACAGACACACAGAGAGAGGTGAGAACCTGACCTGCGTGCTGGGAAGAGCACCAGAGCTAGAGTCTGAATAGCTAAGCCATGGCCTGTCCCTCTCACCACTGTGTGGCCTGGGACAAGTCACTGCTCTCTCTGGGCCCGTGTTCTTAACTGAAGAATGAGCAGGAGACAAAGCAGGCGTGAGGGCCTCTGACTTCTCACAGGCCATGCTCCTCGGCTCAGAGGGGAGCAAGTCCTGGCATGGTTAGGCTCGATGCTCAGATGGGCACGGCTGAACCAGCAGAATCCAGGGTACTTTGAGCTCTGCCCCATTGTGAAGTTCACCCCCCGCCCCTGCCACACACACACACACACACACACACACGTCACTGTCCCCATCACCTTTCACTTCGGCTCTGTAGCCAGTGTTGTGGACATGAGTTCACCCCCCACCTTCATACCCCAAGTCACTCCAACTCTGCTCCCAGGGGTGGTTGGCCCAGCCTGGCAGCCTGGTTGGTCCTGGAACCCCCTCTCCTAAACTGTCCCCGTGCCAGGTCTGAGGGTGGGTGAGCAGGAGAAAGGGCGCCAGGCAAGGGAGAAGCTAAAGGGAAGGGAGAGAGAACCCCCAGATCCAGGCAGGACTACTGAGGAGGACTGGCCGGGGAGCCTTTGCCTCTTCTGAGGTCTCCCCAGGTGGGTACCCACAGGCAGGGCCAACAAGCCTGGGGGTTGTGGCCAGCGCCCATCCTGATTGGGTCAGTGTCTGGCTCGTGGACCAGGGCCTGAGGGATCCCTGTTATTCGATATGTTTAATCACCCCGTCACTTCCTGTCACCCAGCACCAGCGAAGACAGACCTGACACCAAATCCCACACCTTCAGTGCAACCCCTGACCAAACACCCCCAGAACGAACCACGTCAGAGTAGACAGAGCCACGTTTGCTATGCCAAGAGAACACACTTTATTGGGTACATTTCCAGGGAAACCTAGTTTTGCATGAATGAAAGCAGTGAAATGGAGAAGCACAATATAAGAAGTATTTCGTTAGAAAAAGCCTGCTGAGCGGGGAGCCCCTCTAGGGAAGGGGGGGTGTTGAGAGCCGGGAGCCACAGGGTTGGCCTCCCTCCTGTGGGCCAGGGCCCGCCCTCTGGGCTGGGCAGCTGGGCACAGCGGGCAGGCCTGCTTGTGCTCCTGGAGGAAGTGACTCTCCCATCTCGGATCTCCTCGGCGATGGTGCGAATCTAGGTGCTGCCCTAGGGAGCCGGGGCGCAGGACATGCCCGAGACGTAGGGAACTCTACAGGCAGGCTTGCATTCCGTGGCACAAGGGTGGGGAGGCAGCCTGGGGAGATGAAATCATATCAGGTCAGGCATCGGGACTTGGCACCGACGTCACATTAAACAGATTTAAGGGATCAAGTAAAACACGTGGGTGACAACAACGAATGGCCTCAGACAGTGCCGAGCGAGGGCTGCAGGGATGAAGACTAGAGACTCCCAGCCAAAACAGAGCTTGGACTGGCTTGTCCCCCCATGAATGACCCAGGTCGGGGGCCAGAAGGAATCTCTCTCTCTCTTGCTCTCTCCCACTTCATCTGTGCACTAGCCACCCCAGGGCTGATGCTGCCAGCCAGGCCCTGGGGGTGGGTCTAGGAGGTGCACCTTCCCCTCCCCCCCAGGCCTGACTCCCCAGGACCCTAGCCACTCACTTGCAGTCCTCTCCCTCCAGCAGGCAGCGGTAGGTGGCGATCTCCGACTCCAGCCGCGCCTTGACGTCCAGGAGGAGCTGGTACTCCTGGTTCTGCCGCTCCAGGTCGCAGCGGATCTCGGCCAGCTGGGCCTCCACGTTGCTGATCAGGCACTGCATCTGGGCCAGCTGCGAGCTGTAGCGGGCCTCGGTCTCCTCCAGCGTGCATTCCAGGGAGTTCCGCTGCAGCGGCAAAGAGGAGAGCTGCCAACGGCCCTGGGACTCTGCGTGTCACTGTGATCATGCCCCCTGGTTGTCTAAGAGCCTGCCTGCCACAAGGGACGAACAGCCACTCCGCAGGGGCCACTCACCATGCTGTGCTGGGCCTGCAGCTCGATCTCCAGGGCGTTGACCGTGCGTCTCAGCTCGATGATCTCCGTCTGGCAGCACTGAAGCTGCTCCGAGCTGGACACCACCTGCTGGTTCAGCTCCTGGGTCTGGGAAATGAGAGGGCCCAGTGCGGTCAGACCAAGGGAAGCCACTGTCCAGGGTAACCCCAGCCCAGGAGCTGGTGATCCTGGGCTGCCCCAGCCCCACCTGCGTGTTGAACCAGGCCTCCACGTCTCTGCGGTTATTCTCCACCAGGGCCTCATACTGGCATCTCATGTCATCCAGGATCTTGTTGAGATCCACTGGTGGGGCGGCGTCCACCTCCACATTCAGTCGGTCCCCGAGTTGGCAACGGAGTGCGTTGACTTCCTGCGGAGAGCCGACAAGATGCCATAAGGTGATGAAAAGGATGCTGGATGCAGGGGGTGGGGTTCAGCTGAGCTGCATTCCAACTCCCCCCTGCCCTCGGTGGCCAGCTGTGTGACATGAACCAGGATACTGAACCTCTCTGAGCCTCTGTCTCCTCGTGGACTTGGAGCGACCTCCTCAGAGGGCTGGGGAGAGTAGGGTGAGATGGTGCAAGTACCAGCAAGTAGGATTGTTAGCAGGCATTACAGCCCAAATGGAGCTTTAGTGTCATGAGCAGGAGTGTGGGATCTGGGTGGCCTTAGGCAAGTGACTTAACCTCTTTGTGCCTCAGTGTTCTCATCTGTGGAATGGAGCTTATAATAGTATATCCCTCCTGGGATTGTGGTGAGGATGAAATGAAATGCAAAGTTCCTGGCACACAGTGAGCCCTGAACAAGTGCCAGCTGGAGTTCCTGGGGAGGTGGTTGCCACAATTGTTATCCCCGGGACTCCCCGCTGGGTGGGAAACTTGGGGAGCTCTCGTGGTACCAGCCTCACCTCCTCGTGGTTCTTCTTGAGGCAGAGCAGCTCCTCCTTCAGGGACTCCACCTGGGCCTCCAGGTCGGCCTTGCACAGGGTCAGCTCGTCCAGGATCCTGCGCAGCCCATTCATGTCCGACTCCACCAGCTGCCGCAGGCCCAGCTCCGTCTCGTACCTGCACACACACAGCCCTGTCAAGCCTGCGGCAGAGGAGCCAGGCACAGGGAGGGCCCCTGCCTGCTGTCTGGCTGCAGTGGCTGAGTTGGGGCCAGCAGCACAGGGTCCTTTCCCCTGACCCAGCAGGGATCCGGAGCCAATGCTGCATTTTCCTCGTACAGTCTCATCTGGCCTCACCCCCACCTCACCGGCTCCCCAGGGCAGGGGAGGGAGCACAGAAACCTCAGGACCAAGCCCACTCACTTGGTGCGAAAATCGTCAGCAGCCAGCTTGGCGTTGTCAATTTGCAGGAGCAGCCTGGTGTTCTCGGCCTTGGTCATCAGGATCTGGGGAACAAGGGCACCCCGTGAGCTGGAGAAGGCCCAGCAGGGTGGGTAGCTCGGCTCCCAGAGGCCAGGCCTCTAAGTGCCACCAGCACCTTCACCATCTCCAGCCCTGAGCCCTGAGCCCAGGTATGAAGGGAGCGTCAGTCCTAGGAGGGATATCAGTGGCTGTCAGTCCTGGCATTGGCAGCCCCCAGGGTGGCACAGTGGGAAACACCAGGGGGAGTGGAGAGAGCCAGGCGGAGCTGGAGTCAGGCTCTGCACCCAGCACTGGCAGGCTGTGTGATCTTGGTCACGGTGCTGACCGGGCACTCCAACTGCTCAACTTCAACTTCCACATCTGTTCAATGGAAGCCCATGTCTCCCAAATGAGGAACCAATAAGCCACAGAGAGGAACGTGCCAGGCACAGTGCCTGCGCCCAGTAGGAGCTTGGTACATGGTGTTGCCCTTCCTATCGCTGAGACAGTGAGGGGAGGGGAGGAATGGCTGGCCACAGGTGACAAGCAACGTAGAGATCTGGGCCCCCCAGGAAACCAAGACCCCAAAGAGAAAAGCTGGCCTTGGTGGGAGGATTCCCTTAGAGCTGCAGTCCCACCCGTAGCCCCTCGGTATGAGACAGACCACCTCCAGGGGCGGGGCTGCTGGGCTGGAGAGGGGCCAGGCCCCGTTACCTTCTGCTGCAGCTCCTCGATGGTCTTGAAGTAGGACTGGTAGTCGGGGCAGATGTACGGGATCTGACACTCGCACCACTCTCGGATCTTGCACTCCAGCTCCCCGTTCTCCCGCTCCAGCTGCCGCACCTTCTCCAGGTAGTTGGCCAGGCGGTCGTTCAGGAACTGCATGGTCTCCTTCTCGCTGCCATTGAAGGAGCCCTCGCAGAGCCAGGTCCCGCTCCCAGCAAAGCCAGAGGAGTAGCACCCGGAGGACAGGCAGGAGCTGGGCAAGCAGCTTCCCAGGCCCGAGAGGCCCAGCCGGCCGGAGGAGGCCGAGCCCGCAGCACCCCTGCAGGAGCCCATGGAGCGGACGGGGGACATCCGAGAGAGCCCGCCCGCTGGGCCACAGAGGACCTTGATGGACCCAGAAGAGATCGGGGAGCAGGTCTGGGTGGCCATGATGCTAGCAGAGGACGGTGGAGCTGAGCAGGAAGCTAGGGTTCTGGGTTCTCCCGGCCTCTCTGGGGCGGTTATATACCCTCTTTGTAGGGTGTTGCCGTGTTACTCTTGGGAAAGCCTAGTCCTAGTCCAGAAAGCTGATCGCATTAGAACGTGACTTTTTGCTCCCCATCCAGCATTCCCTGCCTTGTAAAAAAAATAAAATAAAATTGTTCAATTTGGTTGGCTAAGTCGGGACTCTCGGCTTTGTCACTTCGGAGCAGAATATGAATTTTATTGCCTCTTCAAAGACTTTGCACCAGATCCCATAAATCGGGAGTGGCCTCGCGGATGGCATTTGGTCCCTGCCCTGTCTGCGTGCCTTCCCCCTGAGGAGCCCAGTCTGTCCATCTGTCCCCATCACCCACGACCCCACGCCTCCTCGCCCCTGACCTGGGCCTGGGCCACCGGGATGGTGGAAAAGGAGCAAAGAGAGCTAAAATTCATGGAGCATCTATTATGGGCCTGGCTAGAATCATTCTGTTTCCACCTCACCACAGGCCTGGGAAGTGGCTGGTAGTGTCTCCATTTCGCCAATGTGGAAACTGAGGCTCAGAATGGTTAGAAAACAAATAAATAAAAAGTCGCTCAAGGTCAACAGGCTGTGAGGAAAGAGCCGGGATCTGAAACCAAGGCTCCCAGACCCCAACTCCCATGCCCTCGTCCCCCACACCAAGGTCAAGTCCCACCACCCGGAATTTAGGGGCAGGAGACCCAGGTTCAATCCTGGCTCTGCTGATCATCTGCTGAGCACGTCACCCCCTCTCTGGCCTCCTCAGTGCCTTCATCATGACAGGAGCGATCGCCAGCCTGGCCTGAATCAAAAGTCAGAAGTTAACGTGTTTTGAAAACCACTGGGTGCCGTAGAGATGTTGGTGAAGCTAAGAGAACAGTCTTTGGTGGTCGTTGATGGCTGTGGCCAGCAAAGGATCATGGGAGTGAGCCTGTGAATGGGGCTGCTTTGGGGGGTAGTTCCCTTTGTGGCCTCTGCCTCTAAACCTAGGAGGGTAGACTCAAGGCCCCAAGATGGCTGGCTCGAACCGCCCCTCCCGACCCCCAAGTCCCTGAACTGTGTGCGGAGATGGTCGATGCAGACTCTCTGGACGGGGAAGGAGTAAGAAGAACAAAGTGCCGCCAGGCAGGTAAGCGAGCCGGGGGGAGAGCCTGGGGACTGAGGAGCAAAGGTAAATGCGGTCCCTGCCTCCCCACGCGGGCTTTCCCACGCAGGCCTGCTGCGCAAGGCTGGCATTTATGGGCGCATTTATGTGCTTCTGGGGTTGTCATTTACCAGCCTCTTAAAAGGCTTTATAAGCTTCTCTCTGGCATTACTCAGGAGGGTTGGCTGTGGTGCCCAGCACCTCGCCCAGGGCAGTGGGCCTCCTGTCGAGGTGCCCCATTCTGCACCTGGGGGGCTCCTTCTGGGACTGAGAGCGGGCAGCCGGCCTCCAGAGCCCCAGCTGCCTCAGCCACGGTTCCTCCCAGCTGCCCATCTTCCCTGCTCTGCCCGCAGGGCCTAGGACGGGGCGTCTTGGGCTTTCTCAACCTCAGCGCTGTTGACATCTCAGACTCCAGAGTTCTCTGTCGTGGGCGCTCCCTGTGCATTGTGAAATGTTAGCAGCATCCCTGGCATCTACGGACATGTCCCTCCCCTAGCTGTGACAACCAAACATGTCACTAGACGTTGCCAAATCCCTTCGGGAGGCAAAACCACCTTCAGTTGAGACCCACTGGACCATCGGGACAGGGACTGGGCTCTGTCCAGACCTCCTATAAGCACCGCCTTTGTTTCCTAGGATGACTGGTGCAGAGTCCGGTGGGCACTGTGGGGCCTCTCAGGCAAGTCCTCAATACATCCATGCCTCAGTTTACCTCATTTGTGACACGGGGCTCGTCCTGCGGGCAGCCCTTCCCAAGCCCCCAGTGTGGCTCTTATCTGTTGGGGTCTCTGGCTGACGCTGCTGCTCTCATTTCTTGTGAAATCCAGACTGGAGGCTGATTCCAGGTCTCTCTTGGAGCAACTGAGTCAGCGGGGGTCTGCCGCCCTGGCCGTGCCCACTCTCAGCTGCGCAGGGGGGCCGTGGCAGGCCAGGGCTGAGCAGAGGCACACACCCCTCTCGGAGCAGGTGGCCAGCTGGCCAGAGAAGGTCTCCCAGCCGCCCTCAGGCCCCTGCCTTTCTCCATGTTGCAGACTTCAAGGCCACCTCTCAGAGGCAAGTGCGGAGGGAGCCTCGTGGGAAGAATTCCTCTGTTCCCTGCATCCAGAAGCCCGGACCATCGTGGGAAGGCGGAGGCCCGCATGGAACAGATGCTCTACCTGTATCGGAGGAGAGAGCCCAGACTCACAGAGCCGCTCACCCCCCAGGACCGCACCAGGGACCGCCCGCCCTCCCTCTCCGGGCCAGCCAGCCCTGGAGGACACCCGCCTGTCCACTGTTTAGTAAACCAGGGCCACCCATGCATTGGGTTTTATGTCCAAATCCGGTCCTGGGCTCAGCAAGACCTCAGGCCAAGCTACTCAACCCGGCTGAGCCTCCGCTTTCCCAAGAGGTGAATGGAGATCACAAAACCACAGGATTGTGGGAACTTATTGACATGTGCGTGATAAACAGGAACTCATTTCACAGATTTAAGAGATCAAACTGTTCTTAGAGCCCCTGCCGTCGGAGCCCCAAATACTATTTCCAGTACACAAACCGCTCCCCCTGGTTTCATGGGACATTGTCTCGGAGGCCTGACCCAGCTGTGCCAGGAAACACAGCTGCTCGAAGAGGTGGTGGCTGGGGCTGTGTCCAGGGCTAAAGGGACCCCATCAGCCAGGACTCTCTGGCCTCTGACCTTTACTCTAGAACAGTAATGGCGAACCTATGACACGCGTGTCAGAGGTGACACGCGAACTCAGTGTTTTGGTTGATTTTTCTTTGTTAAATGGCATTTAAATATATAAAATAAATATCCAAACTATAAGCCTTTGTTTTACTATGGTTGCAAAGATCAAAAAATTTTTATATGTGACACGGCACCAGAGTGAAGTGAGGGTTTTTCAAAATGCTGACATGCCGAGCTCAAAAGGTCTGCCATCACTGCTCTAGAAGCTCCCAAAAGCCACCACTCCCACCCCCACCTCCACCCCACTCCTGCCCTGCAGGCGCAGTGCTGGTTTTAGGGCTACAAAGCTGACGGCGCGTTCTCTGCCCACGTGGCCCCAGCTTCAGGGGCAGGCGAGAGAGGAGGTGCTGCCGCAGGAACAGAAAATGGCCTGGCTTTCCCCAAGCCCATCGGGGAAGGCCACCAAGTTCAAAGTCAGCCACGGAGCTTGTGGCTCCTTCTTCGGTAAAAAGAAGTCTCCATCCATAAGTGCGTTTACATCCGGAAGCCGGGGCTCTCCGTGGGCAAAGAGCTGAGAAGTCAAGCCTGAGTCTCCTTCTGCCCAGCCTGAGCAGTCCCTTCAGTGCAGATGGCCGCGGGCACAGCCCGGCACGGTGTGCACCGGAGGAAATGGGTTCTCTGAGCAGGGTCCCCCTTTCCCTGCTGCTCTGGGCTGTGGTCAGAGCGTGCCAGCTACCACCACACCAGAGTGCCCCACAGCCATCGGAGGAAGCAGACCGTGGGCCATGGAGCAGCCACGTCCCCTGCCACTGGGCACCCAGGGGACCAAGATCGTTCAGGAAGCCCCTGGCTGCCTCTCAGTGTCCTGCTGCCTTAGGCTTCGTCCTCCTGGCTGTCACCTGATGCCTGCTCCACCTTTGACACCCACACACACAGATCCTGAAGAATTTCCCACCATAACAGGCATCTAAGGAATGCTGGCCCCGTGTCTTAACCCCTTTATTTTTAATTTTTCTTAGAGAGAGAGAGAGAGAGAGAGAGAGAGAGAGAGAGAAAGAGAGAGAGATGTTGACTGGTTGTTCTACTCATTCATGCATCCATTGGTTGATTGTATGTGCCCTGATTCGGGACAGAACCCGTGACCTAGGCATATCGGGAAGATGCGCCAACCAACCAAGCTCTCCAGTCAGGGCCCATGTCTTAACCTCTTTAGACGCTACCCAGCAGTCACCCAGAAATGGGGAGACCCACACCGATCTCATTTACACACACACACACACACACACACACACACATACACTGCTTCTTCCTTTTAACCAAGAATGTGTCCAAGTGACAAAGCACCTGCGATTCCGGCCCCTCCCAGGAAAGCAGGGTTACTCTCTATTCTGTGCCAAATAACCACATCGAAAGCTTGGGCCAAAGCTACTGCCAGCTGTCAGGTCTAGTGCAGGCATGCCCTGGCAGGACACAAAGGTGAAGAGAGCATTCTGGGAGGAGAAAATCTTCAATGAAGACATTTTAAGCCACCCATTTAATTTGTCCAGAGAACTGGAGAAAGGTCTCGCTTACTCAGTTTTGACGGTGGAAGACTCGGGGATGTTCACAGACCGGCCAAGGACAGGGTCACCGGATTTCGCAAATGAGTGTGCAGGCGATGTTTGGGACATACTTATACTAAAGAGTGTCCATCTGTCATTCTGATGTCACTGGGCACCTGCACTCTATCTGGCAGTCCTCGGTAAGAAAGCATCGCCGGCTGAGCACCTGGGCCAAATACGACACAGCTATTTCTTCCCTCCACCCCCTGTGGCCTGTCCCATGACTGGCTGGTCTTGGGGGCCGATGTATCTGACTTCCTTTGGAAAATCACCTTCCTGTTCTCTGTTCCCTATTCGGAGTGGCTGTGTTTTTAACCCTCACAGGCCCAGCGAGCACAACTCGGACGTGCGGCGCTGTCCTCACTGTCATCCTGGCCACCTCAGTGACAATCCACCCCATGGCAGCCGCCTGGAGCAGGGTGACTCAGACCTTCCTCGGCAAGACCTGGCAAGTCCATCTCTGCTCCCTTTCTCACTTCCCCAGCCTGTGCCCCAAACCTCTGTCCACCCCTGCTGTCACCAGGCCTCACCAAGCTCAGGACAGTGCGGACACACGCTAGGTGACCTAGGATGTCTTTCTCCACTCCCTCTACAGAGCCCTGAGCCTGCTGATGAGTTGGCTAGGGCCCTGAGCAGGGGTTTCTCCCGTGGCCCTAGGGTCTGTGGGGCTCCCGGGCACCCAGCTGCCCACGTGCTGCTCTGTGCATGGTCCTGAGTCCCCGCTGGGCCTGGGCCTTACCCTGATTAGGCCTCCAAACGGCCCCTTTCCCAGGCCAGAATTGCC